TAATGAGATCCACGCCACACTGATTAAATTTCAATATCTGGATTTAGGGCCAGGGCATCAGTATTGCTTAAAAGCTACTAAAGGTTCTAATGTGCAGCAAGAATTGATAACCACTGATAAAGATACGTAACCAAAATTATTATTTAGGTTAAAAAATACTTTGAAGCCTGTGGTTTGTGTTGGCTATTTATATATTTTTTTAAAAGCTGATAATTGCAAAATACCTACTTTCTTTGAAGCTATATAGATACAGTATCCAGATTGGTGACCACACTTGATTAGCTTAAGTGGTTTCATATTTGACACTTGGCTTTCCTGACCAGTTTCCCAGCATTTAAGTGCAATAAGTTGGGGGTTGGGGTGGGAAGTGGGCACCGATAACATCATTCTTGGAGTGTCTGGCTGGCTTGAAGCAAAAGATCAATATAAGTAAGATTTCTATTGGATTGTAAGAATAATGATCCTATATCTAGTTATGCATCTTTATAGGAAAGACTTTAAAACTTAATGTCAGGGCATTAAATTTGGGTCCAGCATTAATAAGCTCCAGAAACAAGCATGAGCTATTTTACTCTTTGTGAGAGGGCCAGAGCCCTGAAGGGATGTGTGAGCAAATGATCACTTCAACCTAATGATTGTCTTTCTAATTGGCCCTAGGAAAGCAATATATATGTTTTTTCTTCGAGTAATTACTCTGTTTTTTCCCTACAGGTTCAGTGGCATTTTTGCTAAAGAGATAATAATAGAGCTACTCTAATAGTGGAAAATAACCTCAGGCAGTCTGTTTGACATGGTTAAGGGGAAAAAAAAGTAAAGGAGAAGAAAGAAAGAAATGAGAAGAAAGTGGAGGGAAGGACCAAGAGAATGGTGATGATGAAGATAACAAAGAAAGAGGAAGAGGGAGTGAAGAAAGAGAAGAAAGAGGAGGTAGAGCAGGAGGAAGAAGAGGAGGAGGAGGGGGAGGAAGAGAAGCAGTAGCAGGCCAGGGAGAAGTCAACACTAGTTGATTCTATATGACATTTAAGATTTTAAGTGTTTGTCTAGTTCATTCAGCAAGAATTTTTCATAATTATTTATCTACCTCAGAGGCTTTCAGTGAGCAGACTTTGCTTTGTTATTCTCTTGTCTTCATTTCTGTAGGCCAGCACTTCCCAACTGGCAGAGTTATAGATGTCCCTCAAGATATTTGGTCTTCTTATCCCTAGGGAAAACCAAGCAAGCAGCTTGATGCTGCCCATCTGGAACACAACCAAGCAGGATATCAACTACCTTGATACTGTATTTATTTCAGCAACTCACTGCAAGCATGTTTCTTTCTATCATGTGAAAGTATCCCTGGATCTGCTGGAAGAGTTCATTTTCTAAGTGCTTCATTAGCATACCATGCTCATCAAAGTTTGGTCAGGGAGGAGAGATAATGAGAAAGCAAGTCAGGGATTCCCAGCAGGTATATCTTTAAGTGGTGACCCCAATGGCAGTCTTCCCATACACTAGATACTTTTATCCATTTGTGGTAAAATTGGTACATGTAACTTCTCTAAAAGCCAAGTGTATTTTCAAATTTAGAATTTCAATATTGTAATACTTGACATATAAAATTTAGGTGGATTCTAAATCTACATACATCCTCATATGAAATTCTAATGATAAATTTGGTGAGAAAATAAAAGGAAGAGATGTTATATTATTTAAAATCAAATGTTGCAAATTTTTAAATGATTATAGAGTTCCTTCAAGATTTTTATTCTCTACCTGTGCAAAAATGTTTTCATTGACAGCTGCTATCAAGAATTTTAAAAGATCATTTGCCATTAAAATTTTTTGATTAGAAATGATATATAGCCTTTCAAGCATAAAAACTGAGATAAAACGTTGTATTGATGAAAGCATACTCATGTCATACAATTTAAAGTTATCTGCTATAATTTTAATGTATTGCTTATAATGTCGTAGTTTATTTTCTTATCATAATTATATCACATAAAGAAAATGTTATGAAATTCTTCATCAAGTCCCATACAGATATCCCCAAATTTCCTCTAGTTTACCCCAGTGTGCCATAGAAATATTGTTATTTTCTATGATGGGGAAACACTGCTACAGGTCGATTTGCCTCTATAATATGTTCTGTTACAAAAAAAAATCTAGTTTAATTACAGACTAATTTATTATGCATTTGAATTAATGTGTAAGTACTGTTACCAAAAGCAAACAGATAAGTCTCATAATAATTGGAATATGTTACAGCTAAGTTATTTCCTCACCCCTTCTCTAACATCTCTTGAAAATCTTGCAATACTGTAGGACTAGAAATATTCTTTTTCTTGACCTGAATGGTTACAATAAATAATTGACCGCATTGTTTACTGTACTTGAGAGTGCATGCTTTATTTAACAGTAACAAAAGCTTTAAAACGTTTGTTTTCTAAGACTAAAGAGATATGGCAGTCTATAGATCTCATTTGAACACATACTTACTTCCTGCTCATACTAGCATTGCTTGTGTTAATCTCCAAGAAAACTTAATAAATTTTTAATTGTATCACTGGACAGTTGTGAGTAGTCATGAAAGGCATGACATTCAATTGATAATTCATAATAGAAATAGTCCTCTTTAGTTTCAGGATTATTCTGTTTTCTATATAAATTAATCAGATGAATCAAATACTATTAAAATCAGTTTAAGGGGTGATAATTGGCTCTTCCAATTCATGATATAAAATACAACACTGAGGAGCCTGGAGGTTATTACTACGATCCACAAAGCAGGACAGGACTAGCCCTTGATAAGAAAACGTTAACATAGATTCTAAATCTGTTTTTACCTCTAGCCTTGGCAAAAGTTATTTCTTCTGCACCCCAAAAGTTGTGGCAAATATGTTTCACAGGACAAAAATAAGACAATTTCAGAATAAATTACTGATTATTATGTGGATGGGGATATTTTCTTCTTGTGAGAGTTTAGTTTTCCCCGTTAGGTATATCAACCAAATGTTTATTACAGGCTTGTATGGTGCTCAATTTAAGATAAATGCCTCAATAATGAGACAATGACCTTATTGCCAACACTCTACCAAACTGATTTACTTAAACAACAATAATAATCATGTTCCCGTTCTAACCATATCTACCATTTTAAACATTTGCCATGGGTTTCCCTTGCCTTGCCAGCTCACAGTTAGCATGTCTGCTGTGAGAATGAAACATCCTAGGGAGCCTGAGGCCACAACTCAGGCTGAGGTGTGAAGTGAAAAGAAGACAGCTCACCCAGCCAACACCACCCATACATGTGGATTTACATTCACATGTAAGAGAACAAGCAGACAACAGGGCTATCAATATGAGCCCATTCCCTAACATCTCACATGAGAGTTCCATTGTTGTAAAACACTTGACTGCATCATATAGCTTATCAACGTTGGCATTTGTTTTTGAAAAGATGCTTTATGTTTAAAGAAATTATAGTTCTAGTCCACATTTCTGCAAACACTGAGGCAAATGAAAAATTAACTGAGCCCCATCCTCCACCAAGTATTGTCTCATTTGCTTTTTATAAAGAACATCTTTTGCTTCCTTTCTCCATAGTTTGTATGCCTTCTTTCCAATCTTCTCCCTTTTCTTCTATTTCTCTAGAATAGATTGCGCCCTCCGGCGGCTGGGAGCTTAAAACAAGAAAAACATTTCTCAGACCCTGCACATTCGCTCACTTTCATCTCCCTGGAATTTACTTTTGGGCTGAGTCCAACGCGTTCCCGAGAGCTCGACACAAGTAGTCACGATCATAAACCTAACCACACTCCCCCCTGCGGCCAATTTCCTAATTTGCTGTTCGTAAGGGGGGAAAGGCACGTGACAAAAGGGAAACGCTTGGTGCTGGCCAGCTACAGAAGGGCGGAGGTTCTCGGTGCTCAGAAGCAAAGGCAGCTTTGGCAGCAGTCCCTCGTGTGTCGCTGTCCAGACCCCGGTGCTGAATTCTGGACGCTGAGGTTCAATCCCTCAAGATTGGAATAGGCTCCGCCAGGGTAGACTGAACTTATTTCTCTCGGGTGGGAGGTGGAGGGTTATTTTAGACGTTTGCTTATTTTCTTTTCACAGGAAAACATTTTTCTACAAAGAGATATTGTACATTTCATGGGAAAGTAATGGCACAGCTCCAGTTCAGCACCAAAGTGAAGAGCTGCAATGAAGGAAAAATGGAAAGTTCAGAGTTATGGAACCTGCCCTTTTCCTCTCTGAGTCAACACAACAGCATTTGGGACCCTAATCCCCCTTGTTGATACATTTTTTAAAATCTGTTTTAAAACATCATGTAAAATCATTTATCTGATAAGTACTGTAGAGGTGGTGGTGGTATTGGGCTTTAAAATATCTAGGATTTTAGATATCGTTTTACTGAGGTTGAGAATCAGAGAGAGAAGGAAGTAAACTTGTAAATTAAGGTAATTTGAACAGTTAAAGTTTCATTTTTAAAAGTATTGCTTTAACGTTGTTTTGGAGACATGTTTATTTTCTTGGGGGATTTAAAGCAGAATTTGGGCAGCAGTAGCTTCCCTCCTTCTCTTTACCCTCCCAGCCTCTGTCCGGTTTGAAAGATCTGAGAGCCCTGTTCTTCACTGCAGGTGCTGATATTCAAAGGGCCGTCGTGAGAATTCTGTCCACCCCTCCTCCACATCCCCTGCACATGAGATAATAAAGTAAATATCAATAAAATGGACGGGAGGGAGGAAAAGTGTGCTGCACTCCCAGCCTTTGGTTCTTGGTAGTTATATTCAAATGGGGCACTCCTCTTTGAGAAGTGAAGATATTTCTCACGGCTGCAAAATTTATGGGCAGACAGGGAGCAGACTTAACTGATCCCAGCAAACTGTTCCTTCCTTTTCTTAATCCCTTGCTGCTTATTTTAGCCGTTTCTCCACCCCGCTGGGAATACCATTCAGATCTTAGTCCAGGTAGATCTGACGTCAAGAGATGGCTTTCGTCGATTTGACGTGTAAACACTCATTTCCATTCTGGCTGGGAAGGGCTGGGGCTCCACTCAGCCTGGAGACCGAAGCGCTTCACTGAGCGCTCGCCGCCGCCCAGCCTCTCCTCGCGCGCCTCCTAGCTCTTCGCAGAGCAGCCGGGAGCCAGGAGTGCTCCAGAGCCCGAGGGTGGGAAGGGCGAATCTGTCTGGCTTTTCTCCTATCTTGTTTCTTTTCCCTCTCTCCTTCCCACTTGTGTGCGAGCGAGTGTGTGAGCCATGGAGCGCAGAGCCTGGACTCTGCAGTGTACCGCTTTCACCCTCTTTTGCGCTTGGTGTGCACTGAACAGTGTAACAGCGAAGAGGCAGTTTGTCAACGAATGGGCTGCGGAGATCCCCGGGGGTCCGGCGGCAGCCTCGGCCATCGCGGAGGAGCTGGGCTATGACCTTTTGGGTCAGGTAAGAGGTTCCACTTTCAAGAAACTTTCTGGGGCTCGGGGGGACTGGCGGGACTGGCGGGACTGCAGCGCAGTGTTCCAAGTGGGAGCCCCTGGTTCAACTCTGCTGCGCGCAGAGTGATAAAGAACAAGGAGCTTCTCCAGCCCTCGCCCCTAGCACGCTTGGAGAAAGAGAAAGCTTGCATTATTTACTGTTTGGGCTGGGCGCAGCCAAGCAGAAGGAAGCCGCTGCAGCTGGGTAGAGCTTATTCTTACTGTTGGCAGCTCTAGAATTGAAATGTGTTCCCGCGCGGTTTGGAAGAAAAATCCCTCCACGCTTGTTCAGGGAACTTGGGATGCACTCAAGCTCTCACCAACTAAGCGCCCCGGGGAGAGGCAGTGCGCTCCATCCCCCAGGACTATTAGGCGGTCTGCGTCAGGAGCCGGCTGTTTCCTTCTTTTCAATATGGCAGCATCAGATCCAAGTCCTGATGCAGGGGCCAAGCAGGCTTGGGGATGTGGGCCGGCAGCCTTGGGGCGTTGGGAGAGCGTCAGCTGCAGGGACTCGAGACCCGAGATCCGAGACCCGGAGGTTGGGAGGCCGCGGAGTGGCCTGGGAGGCTGGCGGGAGAAGAGGTGGGTGAAAGACGCGGGTTTCATCTCTACGCCTCCCTGGGGAGCTCCGGGTTTTCGCTGGCAACTTGTAAAGTCTGAGCTTCATAACTTTGCTGGAGCAATCGAACTGACTCTGGGGAAAAGATCTATCTCTTTCTTGTTCCTCAGCCAAGTGCGTAATCGTTTCCCCGGGGGTTTCAGTTTATGATGGAAACTGTCGCCAGTCCGGGTAGGGGCTGGGTTAATAGATAGCTTGCGGGGCATGGGGCGTGAAGGCGCTAAGAGAGAGACTGCTTAGCTCCGCGATTTCGAGGCGACTGCAGGGGTTGTGACTTCTAATCTAGAGCTTTCCTTTCCTTTGGCTCAGAATCAAGCCTTCGCCCCCTGCCTTTTAAGTTGGTAAGCCTGGAAGTGGGGGAGGAGGGAGTTGTAAAACATTTTGGCGCTTTTTTTTCTGGAGGTGGTGATTGAGAAGCCGCTGAAGTCACGGATGAGTAATCGGCGTGGGCGTTGGCGATTCCATAGATCGAATCTGCTGGGGAATACGCCTTCTCTTGCTACAGGCGTCATTCTCCAACTTTATGAGCCACACTGTGTTTGAAGTGCCCGGCAGGAAAGTCAATGCAGATGGACTTCCTGGTGTCCCAGTAGCAAACCCAGCCTTTTGCTTTTGCCCAGGTCTTGCTCTGTGCCAGGCTCCGTGTTAGAGGCTGAGGAATAAGAGGAGGAAGGGAAACACTCTCAAGGAATCAAAAAGCTAGAGGAGACTGGCTTAGAAAGAAAGGATTGCAAATGAGTGTAAGTCATATAAAGATAGAAGTTGTACTTGGAGTCTCAATGTTTGTTGATTGAAGGAATGAAGGTGGAAGGGAATTTGGGAGAGGCGAAAGAAAACTGCCCAAAGGAGGAAACACCTGCATGGGGTTTAGGAAGAAGAGTCAGAGGTTGCAGGAGAACATGATGAGAAGGCGTTCCAGGCATAGAAAACAGCTTGTGGGGAAACAGTGAGGCATAAAGCAACTTAGTAGTAAGTGTGGTAACTGCAGGCAATTGTTGGGAATTTTTGAGAGTGAAAGAAAGAATGAGCAGCAGATGGAATTATGCGTGTGGTACTGTGGGCATCATGGAAATCATGTATGTCCTGTGGGGAAGAAATAGGAATTTAATTCTTTGGGCAGCTACCAAAAGGGTAAATAACACTGGTAACTGCGTAGAAGGAGACTGAGAGAGAGAACAAAAAATAAATCCCTCTTCTTTTTCCCACCTGTTAGCCCTGGACACACTTCTAAACCTGGACCATTCAATGTGAGAACTGCATTTTAAAATAAATAAACATAAATCCAAAAAGTCAAAAACAATAAATCAGTGTTCTTGGGAGGATCTTTGGGGAAGGGATGGCATAGCCACAAAAAGCATTAAAAAAATAGTGGGGAAAAACTATCTATACTTACATGTGATTTGCAATGCTACATCTCCTCTAGCCGTTTTTAGTTAAAATGACATTACTAAAAAAGGTTCTAAAACAAACTTAACAAAAATTATTTTGTTAGAATAATAATTATTTGTAAAAGATTAATAGTGCTTTCCTGGTTCTGCTTATTTCTCCTTTTGCTTAGTATTACTAAAATTATGCTAATTTAGCATTACTATACTGAGTTCCTTATGGCGTCAGGAGGAAGCTCAGATTAAGGTAGTGACAAGAAGCAAAACCAGTTGTCATCAGAAACAGAGCTAAGTATTGATGATATTTTCCTATGGCTACTGATCTCTCAAATTCCATCTACAGCTTATAGCAGAGCCACTCCTTGAGGTTCAGACTTGGAACAGGGCCTAAGCATCTCTATTAAAAAATTGAGAACCACAAATTTAAAGAACATGCTTCTTCTGAAAAAGACAAAAACAAAAACAAAAACTGCTGTCAATTGTTCGTTAATTTAAAAAATGCAGCACATCTAAAGGTTTGGTAGCTTCAAATTTGTTACTATTTTGAGTAAAGGGTCACTAGCTTAAAAGAATAATGAACATAGTTCCAAATGGACCAAAGGTGTTGATAGCCACCCAGAGAAGTATAGACACCTAAGATGGAACACTTGTCCTAAATGTAGCATGCTCTTTTTCTGAAACTCTTGAACCAGTGGAAAAGCAAATGGTCACTAACAGTAGTTAATAACAATTATCACCATGGATTCAATGGCTGAATTTTATAGCAACAATGAATTCTTTTAGTTAAATGTGGCACTTATCTATGGCAGGTGTGTGCCTGCTTTCCACAAATAATTGTTCTCTGACAGGATAAATTTGACTAAATGAGTATTTTTTTTTTGTATGTGAAATGTCTACTTACATAATATTGTCACACAAAAGCAAATGTAGTTACTGCAAAATGTGTGAAACAGAAGCATCATCAGCTCCCAAGTACGCTGTGAGCCTAAGCAATAATATCCTGAGGGTCATCTCAAGACCACTATCAGTTCCTCCCTCATGAAGAAAAGTTATTTCGGGTAGAAGGAATGGGCTTAATAAAAGTTGCCTGCCTCAAATTTAGTTGGGTTTCAAACTGGTCCATATATACTTGTTTAGGAAAGTGGGTTTTTATTTTAATTTTTCCTTTTATAGATTGGATCACTTGAAAATCACTACTTATTCAAACATAAAAACCATCCCCGAAGGTCTCGAAGGAGTGCCCTTCACATCACTAAGAGATTATCTGATGATGATCGTGTAAGTGTTATGCTTTTGTCTTCAGATCAATACCTTGACTTATCTTCTTTCTTTATGATTTCTAATGAGAACAAGATAATTTTGCAAATATGATATAGGATTCTTTTTTATTGTGATCATGATTGTTTAACTGCAATATTTCTCGTGTCTTTCCATAAAGTTATAATTGCACATAATAATAACAAGATTGGATTGAATTGGTTGAGCTGAAGTTTATATATATATATATATAAAACAATTATATTTATCTAAAGTTAATTTTGTATGTATGCTCACAAATCCAGTCTAAGAGCAATGAAAGTGAATTTTGAAAATCAGGAGGCAGCACTAATGAAAATGTTGACAATACAATCAAACAGCAAGCTTTAATTATGTACCTGTTATGTACCAAGCAGTTTAATAACAATGTGGGGATGCCAAACAAATACATGAACCTTGCTTTTAATAACATTTTTGTGTAACTGAAAAACACTCCACCGTTTCTATTTTGTTTTGCTAGATAGGGAACTAGTGTTTATGAGAGAACTCTAAATCCACGTCTTCATGAGGCAAATGTTTCCACATGTATTTTATTGTTTGATCCAAACTATTTGATCTCTTTTCAGCCTTGTTTATCTGATCTAATAATTAGGCAATAGCAGAAAATGTCTAGAATGAATATTGAAGTCTATTTTCAAGGTTAGTGAACACACTAATAGAAAATGTTGACTATGTTGGGAATACTGCTGTTTGCATGTACAATGTTGCCTTTTCTCAAGAATGTGCCATCCTGAAGGAAATTTATCCTGGTTGGCCTATCTGTATATATGATTTCTGTTGCCTAGGACACCCTGGAGAATTATAGTGAGAGATCCTCTTGGTGAGAATATTAAAAATATCCTTTCCATTTCCCAGGGAAAAAAAAAGCATGAGTGACAGAAAGGTGATAGAACTGTTCAAAGTACATGGAATTCATGAATCTTGTAAAATAATTTGATGTTGTATTTATTCTATAACTGAAAGAATTTGAAGAAGAAGAAGACAAATTATGAGGATAGGGAATGATTGATCCTCAGTCACCAGTGCTCAAACATAAAAGAAACAACCACACCCTGAAAAATAATGCTGTGTCAGGACCATGGACAGTGACCCTATGGCTCACGTACACCCATTGCTGGCTCTTTTTGTCAAGTTACCACTAGATGTGGAAAACCAATTAGAGGCCCTGAACTTTACTTCAGAAGTCCCTTGTCCAGTGAGGTCTTCCCTTACCCATTCCAAGGCAGATGGCTCATTGTATGTGGGTTCTGAAAAGAGACAACTCCTAGAACTCTGGCTAGGTTTCGAGAAGGATTTCCTTCTCTGCCTAAATGCATGTCTCAAATACTCGTTAATGCTCAAGGAAGTCAAACTGACCTCCCTTCTCATCTTCATAGGAGAAAATTAGACTGAGTGGAGCATACTTACCTGTTATTCTTACTCAAATTATTTCATAAAAATGATAGATAGTTCATTCCTTGATAGTTGATTTTGGGGGGAATCCAGAGGCATAATGAAAAAGAGCTAAGAATTTACTCTCTAGCACAGGTATAACTTTGTACAAAATGAGTTTATATAATACTATAAAATTAGCCCAGGAATAATTTTATTTTAGGAAAATTCCTAGAACCATAGAAGCTTGAAGTAGAAGGTTGGAGTAGATGATCTTTGCTCTTTCAAAAGTATGATTTACAATTAAATACATCATACCTATTGTACATAATAGAAAGACATCACCAATTTTTCTCTATTCCATTTGGCCTGCTCTTCTAGAGATTAATATGTGATTCTGAGTTAATGACATTAATCATAACACTGTTTCCAACAATTGGATGTTTATCTGATCAGATTGCAGAGTGCCTCTTCTTACATTTTATTTCTAAAAATTGCTCTTGATTTTCATTTTATTGCTCTTTTTTTTGATGGGGGATAATATTCTTTCAAATCAGCCCTGTGAAATGCAGTGATAGTCTATCTTTACAAGTCTGTTAATGAAATCTCCATTGTAAGTGACCCTGTACCTCAAAGATTAGTACTTGTTCCCTAGCAGCCAGTTTCCAAAGACCAACTCAGATGACAGGCAGTATTCCAAGCATTGAGGTATTTTAAGCCAAAACAATTAAGCTTGAAAATACAAGCACTTTAAAAATAAATTATAGTGACTAATTTCTGGCTCTCAAGTCCCTCCCAATGTTTGTAATAGGTTTGCAGTATATTTTCTAATTGGAAATTCAGGGCAGTCTTAGTGGGTGGTTTTATCCTTTAGTTGTAAATTATTTTTCAGTTTTTATTTTTGGATTTGATTCATGAGCATTTTCACATTAACAATATCAAACCACACACTGGACTGTTATCATATATACGACAGAAAAACTATGTTTTGAGTAGGAAATAGTTATGTTGTCCAGCAAAATAAGAATATAGCATTATCTCATAATGAATATAACTGTAAGGCAGCCCCTCAGTCTCCTAGGGCCTCAGCTGTTATAGGATTATGCCGTAGATGTGCAGCAGGTAATTTTTGTATTGTCAGATCTCCTTGCATAATACATGAGACTGAATTAATGGTAAGTGTGTATGGTCAGTAGTGCTCATTCATCACCTTGGATCTGTTTGAATATTAAATACTCTTAAACAGGAGGTTTAAGCACAGGGGAGCCAGAGTTTCAAATGTGCAAAGACACAGATACATTCTTATCTTGTGTTATAGTTGCAATCTCTACTTTTTGCATGTGAAGAAGAAGAAATTAATCTATAAGAACACCACAACAGCAGTCTCTGAAGTTTCTCAGCTTGTTGACTCATTCCATTAAAGTGGACAAATTTTCAGCTATGTAGCCCTGGAACCTCAATATAAAAATGGGCATTATGGCCCATTTGCTGATGAAAGCAGACTGAACTTTTGCTTCCACTGTAACCACAGTGTAAATAATTTGAGGGAATTATCATTTCACTGACTGCTTCTCCTCCCCCTAAAGGGGCACTTTGCTGTAATAGAGGAAATGTTCATCTCCCCAGTGGGCAATCCCTTCTTCTCACTGGGCTGCCAGTTTGATCTGCAGTCAAACACAAACACTGTGGAGCTGTCTGAACTGTGGCAGGAAGGGTACTGGAGAGAGAGGGAAGATGATTATACAGAGGTGGCTATTTGACTATTGATTTTGTTGCTATAAAAATTCTTATAGGTTATATGGGCTGAACAACAGTATGAAAAAGAGAGAAGTAAACGTTCAGCTCTGAGAGACTCGGCGTTAAATCTCTTCAATGATCCGATGTGGAATCAGCAATGGTACTTGGTAAGTACCTACAGAAGGACTGTGTGGGATCTGGCTTCTTTATATCGTTACACCTGCACAATGGACCCTTTTTATAATGGAAAATTTATTATAGGGCCATGTTATCTAAAGATTAGGGCTGGTGGGACCTTCCTTGATCTGGATCTTCTGTTTTGCTGGGTGAGGGTATCTGAGACAGAGATCTTTAGCTGTTATGAGAGAAGGGGTTGTCATCTTTTTGTCTCCTTAAGCTTATCTGGGGAGATAATGCCGAAGAATCATATGTTGTAGGATAGCAGTTCCAAAAACAATGCTCATGGCAAAAAATCTCATTTGGTTAAAGTTACTATTAAGAACCCTTTAAATTACAGATTGCAGTGAACATGATTTGTTATATACAGCCCTGAATGACAATTCTTACATGATACAAGTGAGAATCTCTAAAACAGCCTAAAAGAAGGAATACGAGAAAAATCTATTGCAAATGTCTAGACTTGCAAACCAATCTACCTTAAGATAGTTACCAAATTCTTGCTGGTATGTGGATATTGAGTGGAGAAATTGTAAGTGTTGCTGTCTGTCTTCAGGGTGTCCTCTCTTCAGTTTTAATGTTAAGCCTCTGTAGTAGTGATACATGTTAATAGAAGGGTTTATTGGTGAGACTATTATAAAAGATAATTTTTCATGACAACCTTAAGCTAAGGCTTAGACACTCTTGTTTCATAATGAATGGAAAAGGGGATAAGTTTCTCTTGCCACTATCTTAACCTAAGTACTTGCTCATTACAGCAAAATAAACATATCAGCCAACATTTCTTGTTCATTTACTATGTGCCAAATACTGTTCTGTTTGACATGAATTAACTCATATAGTCCTCACAACTACCTTATGTTGTTAGTACAGTAATTATGCCCATTTAACAGATGGAGAAACAGAGACATTGACAAGTAGAATAATTTGCTGAAATCACACAGCTACTGGTGACGGGACCATAATCTATGGCTGCAGAGGTCATACCCTTAACAACCACATTCTATAATTGCCCCTGCAATGGACATAGAGGTCTTTTTCTCTGGCTTTGGCCAACAATCTGTGTATGGTTCAAGCCTCCTGTGATTCACCTTCCCACTGGCCTGGTAAGCTTCTGTCCCCACACCACATACATACCTCTTTCTGAGGAGCAACAGCAAGGGGACAGCCCGTTCACTGACACTTTGGACTGTTGTTACTTACAAATTTCTTACTGACCCTTTCACCAGGTACCTGGCATTCTTCCACTGTCTCTCTCATGTGCTTGGAAATGTGCTTATATCTGTTTTCCCTGGCCACCCAACTCTTCCTCTGCACAGTCTCACACACTGTAACTATCAGAAAAATTATTTGTAAAGGAAAACCCCGGATCTCCTCTCACAGGTACTTACTCCCTAAATTAAATAGCAATTCCTGATAAGATCACAGTCTCCTGAGCATTCCAGGTTCTGCTTCTTCTTTTAGAAGAAAAGTTCTAAAACATCCATGGATGACTGTGCACCAGCCAATATAATGTGAGTTCAGGGTGGCAGTGGAGATGGAGAATCAGGATTTGGGGAGAGATGGAAACATAGACCATCAAATAAAGCTTCAGATAGATGAAAAGCTTAAGTATATTGTTATAAATGAAAGAAACTTAGGGATAAACTTCTTTGAAGCCATGTAGTACAAAGAGATGGAGCCCTGTTGATTCATCCTTTCAAGTGATTTTTCCACTGGAACAATTGGGAGAAGAACAGCACTCTGATGATTCATTTGGTTTAACTTTATTTTTCATTTCACCTAATTGCCCTTTTCTAAAGAGTAGAGTGACCCAAGGAAAAAGAAAGGTGGGTCTCCAGGTTGGAGCTTACGTTCCCACTTTGCAGCAAGCAAACCATAATTTTACCAATGCTTCTTGCTTTTCTTTGCCAGCAAGATACCAGGATGACTGCAGCCCTGCCCAAGCTGGATCTTCACGTGATACCTGTTTGGCAAAAAGGCATTACGGGCAAAGGAGTTGTTATCACTGTACTGGATGATGGCTTGGAGTGGAATCACACGGACATTTATGCCAATTATGTGAGTCTGGGCTCTACTGTCTGTGACTTGGGGAGCTGTCTACACAGATACATCGTTAGGGCTTTCCTTCCCTTCAAGGACATGCTGCTCTAATGTCAGCCGCTAGGACAATGGGCCAATGCTTTGTTCCTTCCCTCACCTCTCACCAGCCCATATGAACTTACTTCATACCAGTGACATTGAAAAAATTCAGTCGGGTCAAAGATTGTTCAAAAGAATGTATGTTGGGAGAAGAAGGGGAGGTACCTACACTAATTAAGTTATTAAAAGCCACTGAGACACTGAACCACTCAGCGTTTGGAGCATTAAAGTAACCAAATCAAGCCCGATGCCTAAGATCATATTCAGTCTTCCTCCTCACATCTTTTATGGGCCAATATCCCTGACATTGTGAATATGATTCCTTCCATGCAAATTTAAAGTTAATACCACACAGTGCAAATAGGCCAAGTTGAGAAGGGAAGAGTTTACCAGAAATGGGAAAATAAATAAATGAAAACTATTTGCTTTATTGTTTCTGAAGTTCATAATATAATATGAACTCCATAATATATCTGAGGTCTTGAGATCAGGGGGGCAGATGTTTCATCTTTGAGATTGTCCTTTGCCTTTCTCATCTTTCCCATCCATCAAACATTCCCCAGCTATAACTGAAAGCTAAAGAGCAAAGGAAAAGGGAAGGAAAAGAACAGAAAGCATTAGCACAGAGTATCAAGCAGGAATTATTGAAAGATATGGAAAATATTGAGAAGTAGCAGTAATGATGATAGAATTTCTATGTGAGAGATGTTTAAATGTAGCGATCTGGTTGGAAAAGGGAGCGGGACCTGGAAGCTTGTCTTGAACTTCAAACACGCTCTCTTTATTTAAATTACACGTTTACTTAGTGCACCTGGGGAGGCTGAAGGAGGTCACCATGGACTGGGGTCCCAGCGCACAACCATCTCTCTGCACCTATATTTGTAAGAGAGATGTGTGTCAAAGTGTCAGTAAGTAGTTTTATGGCTTTCGTTAAGTCATTCAGCTTCTCTGGGCCTCAATTTTCTCACCTGAAAAATGAGGTGATTGAACTCCGTAAACTGATTCATTCCAGCTCTAACCTCCTGTGAACATCTATGAACCACAGTTTTGGTAACATTCACTGAGAATGAGATACTGGCTCACTTTGCTGCGTTCGTCATCTCTGCCTGGTTTGTGGGTATAATAAATATTCAGTGACTAGTCCAGAAACTCTGAAATGCAGGCTTTTGAGCTATCAGCCAGGATAGAAGGGATAGGGGTAAAAATCTGGGAAGTGCTGTTTTTTTTTTTTTAATGATACTACAGTGTTATTTTTGTTGTCTCTTTAGGATCCAGAGGCTAGCTATGATTTTAATGATAATGACCATGATCCGTTTCCCCGATATGATCCCACAAATGAGAATAAGTGAGTAAATGTTTATTTGGAGAAGTAAAATACTTTAAAATGCTTTTATCTTGTTTGAGAAAATTATTCTATAAATTTGATCCACATTTCAGCTCTCAGAAAATGTTAATGCACACCATCCGTACCGCAATATTTTTTTTGCTTTTAAAAAAGAAACCAAAGCTTCTGTAATATTTTTATATTCCTTTTGGTTTATAGAACCATATTTTCATCAGACTTCTTGTATTATGAAATTCTCTTTCTTATGGTAGGAAATTCTCCCCTCAAGTGTTACTGAGTAATTGTAGCTTTAGAAAGAATGTTTGGGACATAAAGAGTACAAAATTTAAGTCCCCACAATTCCTCTATGAATCTTTTACAATTAGCAACATACTGATGTTACTCATAAAAAGATACATAATATATATGTACAATGCCCACAACTTCCTATGGTGGCTACAACCACCCTCACCAGTTCTCCCAGAAGAGCACAACTAGACTCTGGACAAGAGAAATGTCCCTGAAACCTGGCCCCCAAATCCAACACAGTGTCCAGGGCATTGATCCAGTTAGTAGCCTGCCCCAGAGTTCCTACTGGTGTAAAGCTAAAAGGAAGAGAAAGGAGACAGCATCTGAATCCTAGATTAACTTTCTGTCCATTGCAGCCACAGGGTGATAGGGAGGTCAAGAGCCAGACCTTCCACAGTGAGAAGCCAAAGAAAGACCCAGAGACAAGAGACTTTTAACCCTCTCCCCTAGCCCCAAAGAAACTTCACCCTCTAGGCATATGGACCCTCAAAGTGTCCTTGCCCACGGGAGAACTCATCTTTGTTCATTCTGATATTTCTCACAGACTTCAAGGAGACATTCAAACTTTCCTCTTCATTTTCTCCACCCAGAAGAGACTCGCACCAAAATAGATCAAAGCCAAGGTCAAAATTAGGGCTTGCTGCTACAAATGGGAATGGAAAGAGCAAAGCAACTAAAAGCTCTTAGTAGATGTCACATACCGTTTCCCTTTTCTCTCTGGAGGGCTCTGTCCCTTGGACTATTACCCAACTTAGGCCAGCCAAGTTTCTCTTGCTCTCTCTCCTGCCTCCGCAACCCTTATTCTCTCTGAGAACTCCCACATGGCCAGTGCAGTCTTGCTGACCTAAAGTTATTTCTTTATTTGGCTGGTCCCCGTCTCCAGAAGGCCAACAAACCCCAGGAAGAGAGGCTGCGGCCTCAACTTCTGGGTGTATATTTCTTCCTTGGGGAGAAGGGGAGACTTGTAAAAGGTTCAAATATACTACTTATTTCAGTACCATTTATTTCTTTGAGGGTTTGAGTAAAGGAGTTCACCGTAAATACACCTCAGAGGTTAAAACATTCCAGTAATGACACAAGAGGAACCACTGGCAGAGGCACCCTTGGAGGAAAGTGGGAGTGTCTCAGGAACTTACAACAGGGCTCCAAGACAAACTCTTTGCCCTATTTCTGAGTCAGGATAGTGCAGGACCAGTAGGGACCTCTGCTCTTTTGGAGCACAACCTTGCAACGTTAGCCTGGGTGGCAGTCATGGCTTTGCCAATTACCAGTGTAGTGAATGACCTCGGGGGGAAATCACTCACTTCTCTCTGTCTCTACCTTTTTTTTTTGGTCCCCTAAAATGGTGACAAGGCACCTGCTCCCTATGTTTCTGAAAGAAACTTCCTAAGCAAATGTGTGATAAGTGCTTGGAAGAAGAGGCCACTCTTCTCAGAATATAGTAAAAATAACAACTTATATTCCACCCCCTTGGTTAAAACTAAGAGGGAAATCTGCTGCCAGCTGCATGGGTGCAGCTGCACAGACTTAGCTAGAGGTGTCAGCCTCCTTCCCGGGGAGATCCTGGGTAGATCCTGGGTCTGGCCCTAGGTTCCGATGTGCGCAATGACTTGTGTGGTGGCTGCACAGTAGGCGAATACTTGATGAAATGATACTCTCTAGAGTTTCTCTGGTCATGAAAAGGAAGACTCAGACTTTCCTCTTCCTTGCCAAAAAAGGGATAATCTCACAGCACAGCATTTATAATAACATATATATATTATAAAATATAATTTCCCCCAATTCAGGGAGCTCCAAAGGCCCCAAGAAAGTAGCCCATATAATGATATTTATTTTGTGCCTGAAAACTCTGAGCTTCCACAGCACAGCCTGCTGTGAACCTTCCACATAGCATGGAAATAGCATGGCATAGCCCAGAGGTTACAAGCACAGACTTTGGAGCCAGATTTAGATCAAATCTTCCATGTGTCACTTCATAGTGGAGTATCATGAGCAAATTATTGAACTTCTTTGTGCTTAGGTTTTATCGTCTTTTGAAAAGGGATATCTACTACATTAAGTTATAGAGATTAAATGAGTTTATATATATATATATATATATATATGGCTTGGGTACTGCCTTTTTACTACATAAAAAGAAGGTAGTGTTTGCTTTGGTGGTGATGATGATAATGACAATGACAGTGATGATGGGGAGGATCAAGGCTTCTCATTTACCAACTGAGATAGACCTTGTTTCAGTGAGAAATCAACATGATAAGGATAATATCATCCAATATGAGCAGAAGCAGAGACAAGTCAATTTTCTAAGCCAATAACAAATCTGCTATTTGAAAATGACTCAATGAACAACTGTCTCTCAGGGTCCTCTTGACTATAATTTAAAAGGTAGCATCCCTATCATTTATCAGAAGGTATAATAAAAAATATAGTTACCCTTCTAGCATGTTGTCAGACATAAATCCCTCAAGTTTGGAACATGAATGGCCTCATTTTGTCTTGGCTTTTATAGCAATTGCAGACCTATTATCTCCCAATTCCAAGAGCATTATCTCTCCAAACTGTCTGTATTGCTGCTGTTCTTTATTACTATGTAAATGGGATGAATAAAAGCCACATGTAAATGCTCCTTTGCAAATCAAAAGAAGAATCACTAAATAATAAAATCTTAAAAGTGCAGGTAACTCTTACTATTAAGCTGGCATGAATCTGTATTTAGTATTTCAACACCAATTACAGATTATTTTTCTAGTTAAATAGCATGTGTGACAAGGGTATTTTAACCAAAATAATAGTACTCTTTAAACTATCTTGTGGAATAATTTTTTTAAAAAAATCAATTTGTTTAAATGCCAGTTACAACCATTGTTCTAAGATAATAGAGGGTTCTTTTATCTCAGCACCTCATTTAGGAAAGAAAAAGATGCCTATAAAGAATGAGCTATAAAGAATGACATAGACACACTTTGATAAAGTCTTTGCTTTTTCTCAATATGTGGAGGTGGGAAGTGAGGATAAGAGGAGGAAAACACATCAACCCATAATCGTACCATGATCCTACCACAACTTTCACTAGAAAATAGTTCTTAGTACGTAAGGAGAGAGAAATAATAGGTGGTTTCACATTGCATCATTTTTTAGGACAGAGATACAATTCTGGGGATGTTTGTCAATAGGTTGATTCTGTTCACTCAGGCTGGAGACTTGCACTGGATTCTTTTGCTATCCTGGTCCCCGTCTCCCATCCTATATAAATAGAAATACAGCAGTGGTGACTTCTGGAAGCACATTTCCCAGAGGATGGCAATTGAATTTCTCCTTCTACAAAGGCAAAGAAGGCTAATCCATCACCAAAGCATAAGATGCCTTCTATGTGTTCAAATGTGCACACATTTCTCAGAGAATGGGTGTGTTGGTCGGGACAGCTTCAGTTGCAAATGAAAGAATCCTAACTCAAAGATTAAGCAGCATGGGGATTTAAAAAAAAAAAAAAATTCACTCAGGGGATGTTCTAGCTTCAGAAGTGGCAAGATTCAGGAGCCCAAACAAGTATGTCCTCAGGACACCAAGCACTCTGTCTCTATCTCCTAATGCTGCTCACCTCCACTTAGCTTCATTCTCAACAGAATCTTGCCTGTCAGAGAGAGATCCACATGGCTCACATGGAATATAGAGCTTGAGATTCCCAAGAAGGTGTAGGGTCCTTCTCCCCAGAATCTGCATCAATCTTGAAAGCTGTCCTAGAGGAGGGGCCCCGTAATTGAATGAACCACACGAAATCAAGCGGGGTTGCTTCCCAAAAGGGGGAAATGCCAGCATAAAAGAAGAAGCAGATGTCTGCTGTATCAGGGAAGACCTTGAATTAAAGAGAATTATATTGTTCTGACTTAGAATTCCTACTCCGTCTCACCGTGAAGGAGCAGGAACATCATTTAGTGACAGGAGACCAGGAAATCATCTTTGTTACTTTAGGAAAAAGAAGCTAAACAGAATTCTTTTGGATTACCCAGTCAATTTAGGAATTTTACATTCCATGCTAGGCTGAACTAATAGATGGCCAGTAAGGTAGAGTCTAAAAGCAGCCAGCCCACATCGTTGCTCAGAGCTGACCCTTCCTCTCTTTTTGTCTAGGTAAGTATAACTGGTCAATGGCTCCTCCGAGCCACAAACAGCCTTCACACTGCTCCCAGCTGTTTCCACAGTGGAATAAAGCCGTGAAATAAATGAATTCACATTAATGTGCTCCTGACTTACGGGCCCTCCTAAATGGATAGTGGTGGGAAAAGATAATTATCATTCCCAGAATTTCAGAATTGATGCTTTAGTGGTGGAATTTGGTGTTGGGGAGATGTATTTTTCTTCCAAATCCTCTGAAACCATAAATTACCCTCTTTGCCTGATTACAAAACCAATCTTGTTCAGGCTTCTAGCGCCAGTCAGAGTTACAGGAATATTCTCATTTCCCAATTAGTCTGTAGTGTCTCGTGACTATCTCAAGCTCCTATTGGTACCAGATAATCCTCAGACATTTTAGTGTGGCATGTGGTTAGAGAAGAGGAGGAGGGCTTAAAGGGAGCCTTTGTTCTATCATATCCCACTGAGGCTGGCCAGGCCAACCTACTCCAGGCCAGTCGCTAGGGAGGAAAGTGAGGAGCCACTCCACTACGAAGCAGTATCAGCATAAGCCATTCCTCTGAAGCTGTTTCTGAGTGTCAGAGTTCTTATATTAATACTAATCACCAACACTTCTGGATCCTTACTCTCTGTCAGCCTGTTCTAAGTGCTCTATACACATTATCTATGTGATCTTCACAGCAGCCCTTTCAGAATAAGTAAGTTATCCAAGGTCACACCACTAGGTAATGGCAAAAGCCAGAATTTAAACTCACATCACTTTGGCTCTAGTACCTGTGCCCTTCATCTGAAAATAAATTTCATCTAATACCAATGGGAGGAAAACCAGCAACAATGCTGACAGAAAGTGAATATATCTATGTGTCATGGCTTCGTTCATGTGAAAAACAAATGTTTTGCTCTTATTTTTGTTTTATAATTCTTATTTTTTAATTCTCAGACATGGGACCAGATGTGCAGGAGAAATTGCCATGCAAGCAAATAATCTCAAGTGTGGGGTTGGAGTTGCATACAATGCCAAAGTTGGAGGTAAAATGGGGAGTCGTTCCTGTAGTTTGGTGCTTTAACGTGAGGCTTTCACCACTTGCTGTAAAGGGGGGTGGCGTAGGGGGGGAGGCTTTTGTTTTCAACAACTAGAGGAAGAAATGATTTCCGTGAAAATTTGCTAGAGGACTTGAGCATGATTTGCAAGCAAATCAATGGATAGGGATTCCTGGAAGATGGATAGTTGAATATAGCCTATACATCTTTGCAGGGAAAAAAATATGGAATTGTTGAATAGCATTCAAACCAAATCTCATTTTCTCTGTTCTGATTTAGAAGGGTTTGTTATTGAGTGTTTGCTAAGGGAGCAGAAGGAGGAGGTAAATTTAGGTGAAGACTTTCCCTCTTTCTCAATTCTGTAGAAGTTTTTCCTTCCCTCGCAAAGAATAGCTTCAAAAAAAAAATTTTTTTTTAAGACGGGGTCTTGCTATGTTGCCCAGGCTGGTCTTGAACTCCTGGCCTCAAGCAATCCTCCTGTCTTGGCCTCCCAAAGTACTGGGATTACAGGTGTGAGCTACCAGCAAAAGATTGTTTAAAATATATACTTGTTATATTAAGAAAACAAATGTTATCTTTGATAGCAAGGGTGTAGAATTTCTAATTATTTTAGTCAGTATCTTTACAGGAAAACACAGGGTAAGTTCCATTAGGGCAACAGAGGACATTTTAATAAAGAAACCATTTATAAGAGTTAGAGAAAACCAACGAGGGGCTAATAAATGTAGGCAGATGTTACCGTCATTAAGCCTGAGGGAGCAAAGGGAAGGGGAGGTCATAGAAAGCGGAGGGAGAAAGCTGTGGTCATAAGTGAGAGCCACTGGGTGGGCCTTGAGTACATCAGCAGAGCTACTTCCAGGCTGAGAAGATCCAGGCAAACAGATGCCTCCCTCTCCTCTCATCCCCCACCCTTCTGCTCGTGTCTTCACTGGGACAATTGCTAAATGCAATGGGATGACAAGAGAGCCCACTGATGCAGTCCCTGTCCCAAAGGAGAAGGGTGGACAGTGGGTCTGCAGGGGCTAACAGAGAAGATAATACTTGTCTTTCCACTTTACACTATCCCTACCTCTGGCTTTCGCATTATACCCTGGACTTAGTGTTTAGTTGGCTTTCAAAAACGATAACCACAAATAAAAGATCAATTTTAGAACATGTCGATTACAATAAAACCCCATTAAACCCTACCTGAACAAACCTTGAATTTGGTTATGTATTCATTTTTAGAAATCAAATAAATATACATCCTGGCATATATGATGCATCTCTCATTAATATAGGACACTTCTAGATTTTAAGTGTCATTCCTGATTCCTTTGATACTAACATCTTCAAAGTGCTCTGTTAATTTAAAGAAAATGAAAGCAGAAGCACAAATTATGTAATCAACTAGAAAAAGAATTCATTTTTTAAGTCATGATGAACCAAACAGCTATAGTTTGTGAGAGAATCATCTAAGGGGTGGGGAGGCTGTGGCCTCGAGGCCACATGTGGCCTTCTGGATCCTTGAGGGCAACCTTTTGGCTAAATCCAAATTTTATGGAACAAATCCTTTTAAGGTAACAAAAATCTAGTTTGTGGCAGTGTAGAACTGAGACACAAGTCTTCAGATTCCAAACCTACTAATTTTTTTTTCATTACTCTACCTTTTAATGATCTAGCCCCAAATGCATTTTTTAATAATACTTTTAATTTATTAGTCACCTACTGTATGTCAATCATTTACCCTACAACACGTTATAGGCACTGTATCCTGGTGGTTAACAGGGTGGATTTGGGTACCAGATTTCCAGGGTTCAAATCCTGGCTCCCTGATTTCAAGCTCTGTGGCCTTGGGCAAGCCACTGTCCCTCTGGTCTCAATCTCTCTACCTACAAAATGGAAAGAATTACAGCACCCACCTCAAATGGTGGTTGTGAGGATAGATGAGTTCGTAGATGTAAGGCCTGCAGAATGTGTAGAATGGTGGCTGTATATAGAAAATCTTCAATGCACGTGAACTGTTATTATCATCCCCATTTTATAGTTGAAGAAGCTGAGGCACAGAGAGGTTAATGGTTTGCTCAAGATTACACAGCTAGTAAGTAGCAGAGCTGGAAATTTTTTTCTTCCAGATGCATTTTTAAACAATATTTTTTAACAGATACAACTTTCACTGATCATGTCAATTACATGTCCTTTTGCCTTTGCTCCATAGTAAATAATAGTGTGAGCATCTAAGGTTGTGCACTCTGTTGCATTATGAGCCCGAAGCCAGAAATAACCAAGTACCTGCCTGTATCTGTCCAAAATGTTTTTGTCTTCCTGGCTCTTGCATTCGCAAGTGTGATGATGGGCGACAGCCTGTTGGAAAGCACAAAGAGCTACCACTTCCACTTTCTCCTAATGAAAAATGATTCCCCCTCGGGAGTGAAATCCATGGCAATGATTTCATCCTTGAGATTATTTAGGAGAAAAGGAAGCGTGTGTCTTGAAAATGGTTCTCAGCAAACACATAAAAGAATGGCCTCTAGGTTATTTTTAATCAGTGCTTAGAAACAAGAGTTCTTTCCCTATTTGCTCATTTCCTATTGTGGCTCGATCTTTTCAAGCTGCACGGTTTCCTGTCCAGCGTCCTTTGTATGGCACAGACTCGGCCACAGCCATTCATGATACAGTCATGAGCAGGTGCACTGAGTGAGGGCTGTTTGGTGGTCTTTCTGAAAGCTGTTCTGTCATTTTGTTGGGATGGTAGTGGAGGGAGGGGAGACGTTTGTAATTGACAGGAACCATGGCCACTTCCTGTCATCCAAGGATGCTACTTCCCTGTGACCTCAATGCCAGAGGTATTACTGGGAACAGAGCCTTGAGTGGGCCAAAGAAAAGTCACAGCTGCTTTCTCAGTGCATAGTATTATCTCTAAAGAGGAGACAACAAAGCTTACCGGGGCAGTGACTTGTCCTATCCTTCTGTGCTATTAGTAGTTGGGTCACAGGCATTGGGGACATCCAGTGGTTGCCTTGTTTTTGACTCTTTTGAGAGTCCTTTAAAAATAGGAATATTAACAGCATTGTGCTTTTCTACATGTACATCAACCTTTGTGAGAGGGTGGTTTGTTTTGTTGCTCAGGCATAAGGATGCTGGATGGCATTGTGACGGATGCTATTGAGGCCAGTTCGATTGGATTCAATCCTGGGCACGTGGATATTTACAGTGCGAGCTGGGGCCCTAATGATGATGGGAAGACGGTGGAAGGGCCTGGCAGGCTAGCCCAGAAGGCTTTTGAGTATGGTGTCAAACAGGTGAGATACTGAACACAGACCCACATGAGATGAAACCTGACCATTTGAATATGAGGAGACGGGAACAACAGTTAGGTTATGTGGAAAGAAATGGACGTGAATTTCTTAACAATACAATTTTAAATGCACTTAGAGAGCCAAATCATTCTTCAGAAGGGTGAGAGTTAAGGGTTAAGAGAGTTTTATCTATTTGGGTCTGATGTTGAACAGAAGTTCAACACTTTTAGGATATTTTCTTTATATTTCTTTGTTTATTTACTTATTTTTGAGCCAGAGTCTCACTCTGTCACCTGTGCTAGAGTGCTGTGGCATCAGCCTAGTTCACAGCAACCTCAAACTCCTGGGCCCAAGTGATCCTCCTGCCTCAGCCTCCTGAGTGGCTAGGACTATAGGTGCATGCCAGCATGCCTGGCTAAGTTTTGTATTTTTAGTAGAGATGGGATCTCGCTCTTGTTCAGGGTTCAGGCTGGTCTTGAACTCCTGAGCTCAAGCGATCTTCCTGCCTTGGCCTCCTAGAGTGTTAGGATTACAGGCATGAGCCACTGCACCCAGTCTAGGATATTTTCTTTAAAAGTACTTGTGGACATTTCTTTCTCCTTTGTCATTCTCCTGCTGCTTTTGGATTTTTACACTAGGTAAACTGTGACCCAGACTTCTTTCAAATGCTCTGAAAATGCATTCTTAAATATAGAAGCACGCTGCCTTCCGCTCTGCACATGCCTGTTGAGTACTCGTGCCTCGGTTGGGTTGCTCTGCCGCTTGGGTTTACTGCATTCTTGCACAGATTCTAAGGCCTTGTACTCCACAGGATGAAACAAAAGTAGAAACTTTGGAGAGCGCACAAATTGAAAAATCATAGAAAGGCCGGCCTTGATGAATTCTATTCAATCGAAGAGTCCCTTTTAATGCAGCTGCAAGGCGGATCTGAATAATGCCTGATTTTGTCATTTTATCAGTCAGCCAGAAGATTCAAGCAGAAAGAAAGAGAGGAAGTTCAAAGATGCAAGCACAGTGACATAAGAGGAGTGGGAAAAGATGAGCAAGTGCCAAAGGCTAGATTATGAATCCACATAATAAAGAAAAGAAAGAAAGAAAAGCGTGTGCTTAGCCCTACCCCAGAGAGGGCCCAGGGACAGAGTCCAGTGGCTTATAAATACCTAGTCTCATGAGATTTGCAACACTGATGCTGAAAGTCCTGGAGTTGAAAATAGACCCCCAAAAACTGTCTCTGAGAACTTCCCTTATGTAATTGTTGGGGATTTTATTGGGGTATGACAGTGACCCCAATGGACGATGACAGATGTTATGCATTCTGGCTTTTCCTTCAGGGGAGACAGGGGAAGGGCTCCATCTTCGTCTGGGCTTCCGGGAATGGGGGCCGACAGGGAGACAATTGTGACTGCGATGGCTACACAGACAGCATCTACACCATCTCCATCAGCAGTGCCTCCCAGCAAGGCCTGTCCCCCTGGTACGCTGAGAAGTGCTCCTCCACGCTGGCCACCTCATACAGCAGCGGGGATTACACCGACCAGCGAATTGTATGTTGCTTTTGTCTAACTCCCTCTGCTTAGGAAGGAGAGCATAGCGCGCATTCAGAATTATCCTCCTAAGTGACCTTTGGTAAAATTGATTTGCTTAAGCTCGCTGTCTCGGTTGGGGAGACCCGCGTTTACTCACCTGAAGGGCTGGCATATATTGGGAAGTTTTCTCTCCAGGGATAATGACCCTTCTGCCAAGATGATCTTCCCCTCTGTCATTTTTAAACTCAGCCTTGAGAAGCCACCAAACCTGTCATTACACACAGCCAAGACTCCAAATGTCTTTTCCGCTTGTCTGATGCCTCCCTGGAAACAGCCTTCAAGGCGATTTCAGGGTTGTAGGGGCTTTATCACCCTCGTACTTGCTGATCCTTTAATGGTAGGGATATAGTCTGACCTGCCCTTTAGCAGATGATAAAAATACAGAGTCTACGCCAGCTATGTCTCCTAAGAATGGATGACCCGCAGGAAAATAACCGTCTCCATTTCCCCTGAGGTGACCTGCTCAGCATCTGGGAAAGCAGTTCAGGGAGGTTATGTGCTCAGAGAGCTCCTCCATCCCACGCTCGTGAGCCTTCGCCACCATGAGTCAGACTGCCAAGGGCAATTAGTGGATTTCCCTTCAAGGGCACGATAATAAAGGGGCACTTAGGGGCTTTGAGAACAAAGAGAGGTACTTTTCATTTAAAAATTTAAAGCCCCCAATTTAACTCCTGACACAGAAAGAACAAACTAAAGTCTGTAGATCCCAATCTCAATGAAATAGCAGGTTATGATCCAATTAGATAGTGAATGAATCCCACAATAATTACCTAGGACTGTGTGCCGAATTCCTATTAATGGCATCGCATCAAAACTGTCATCACTAAGGTCTTCTTCATACAGGATCACTCTCTTCTGCACTCTGTTTCTGCAACCTAGTTTACCCAGTAAAACTGTGGTCTCAACTTAAAAGCACAGGCCTCGCTCTCATGCCCATACCTTCGGTTACTCAAATAACAGACAGTGACTCTCCACCCAGGGGTTCTTTACCGCAGGCAGATTTTATAGCCTTTGAAAGGGGCATGTCAGACATCTGCCCCACTTCTGTTCAGAGCCCCCGGCTGCTGTCATTTCCCTGAGTGTCCAGAGCTGCCTTTAGAAAATGGCCTGTTAGGAATTTTTGCATCACCATTTCATAGCCTGTCCCTTATCTGGGCTACCCTGCACTGAAGCAGAAGAAAGATTTTCTATCTTTGTAAAAATCCCTCCTTAGGTAAGCCAGCCCTAGGAGAGACAGCTGGTGGATTCTATTTGAGACGGTTGCAGTAACATAGCCTTTTTCTTACGCAAACCTCTTTCTCAGCACAGTCATCTCTGGGGGCTTACTTGCGTCAACAGGTAAAAAGGGCAACCTTGTTTCCTCAGCCTTCCTAGGAGCGGAGCCACCATGACTTGAAAAATTCAGCGACTCCAAGCGGGAAGCCAACGGAGGTGATAATAGAACATATTATTTTTTTACACCTCCCTCCCACACATTGAAATCTCTAGCTAAAAACTACAATGCTGGAGCCTGGGTGGGTGTCTTGTTAGTAATCCTTTGGCCCTACTGCCGGTTCAACCAGCAGCGCTCAGGTCCTCCAGGCAGACTGATTGGAAGTCTTTCTGGTTTCTCCCTTCATCTCAGCAACCTCTTCATTACCGTAAAGTGAGCCTGGGTAATTCCTTGCATGCAATAATATTATGTAAAATTACTTTCACAGACAGGATCTCATTTAAACCTCAGAATATGAGTCAGCAAATGTACATCTCTTTTTACAGATGGGGAAACCAAATGACTTGCCCATGGGACATAGCTAATAAGTAGCAGTTCTAGAATTTGAACCCAGAACTAATTCCAGCACAGTTTTCATTTTTAAAAAAGTGCCATTTTCATCAAAGTACAGATGCGGGACACTAACTCATGGGCATCAAATCTAGTAAACAGTGAGTGCAAACCACACACTAAGCAAATTTTGTGCAAGTAGTTCCAGTGGCTGAGACTAGGCTGGCTTTGCAGTCTCGTGCTGAAGAGGCAGCCACATGTCAATCTAAAGGCAAAAGGGAATTTTGTCTGAGGCAGAATTTCTAAATATGCCAGACCAAACACAATGGACCTGATGATTAATGGGCCAGCATGATTCACAGTGATTTTTTAAACAGTTCTTTTTTTATAGACAGCATTTCGTTTGGGAATCTCAGAAGAGAAAATATTCATAGTGGGAGGACTTCATCCCCAGAAAAGGCGTCTTGTTGCCAGAATTACAGACAAGTTGCACATAGAGGAGAGTGAACTAAAATATCAGCAGATGGCAAACATCCGCCCATGGCGTAGAGGAGAAAGTGGGGAATCGAATCAGCTGAGTTTCCTGGTCATAGCAGATGTGGCCCCGGGTCCGGTAAACCTCCAGGGGCAGGCTCCCAGTTCTCACGCATTCTCCCGCCTTTCTCTCCTTGCTGCCATCCAGACGAGCGCCGACCTGCACAACGACTGCACCGAGACCCACACGGGCACCTCGGCCTCGGCACCCCTGGCTGCTGGCATCTTCGCTCTGGCCCTGGAAGCAAAGTAAGGCCCAGAAAGCTTCTAATCACCTTTACTAAGGCCGATGCTCCTTTTGAATACCACGTGTTTTTTTCTGAATATGTGTTTACAGGTGAAATTTGGAAAACTTACAAAAGAATAATAATCAAGCTGTCTTCCTGCCACTTGGAGATAACCATTGTCAACACCTCAATGTAAATTTAACACACACACATCTTACAAATTTGGGAGTGTAATATATGCATTATTTTGTAATTTGATTTTTAATCCACCCTATAATATTTTTAAAGTACTTGCTCACGTTTAAGTGAATGTTCCTTGACCTTTAAAAATTCATCTCTCCCCTCAATCCTGTTCCCACTCAGCTGTGAGTTCTTCTCACTTCTATTTATTCCCATCAGGCACGATTTTGTCCAGTTTCCCGTGGGTAGTATTAGGAATGAGTTTCTAAAAATCCTTTTTTCGGACTAGATGAGCCTCATCCTGGAGCTGATATAATCATGTGAGGGGACATGAAATTCAAAGACAGCATTTTTATCTGCTCATAGTATTCCATTGCATAAATGCAACTTTAATTAAAGTCACCTATTCATGCTTACACATCCTTGGCCGCAAATATTGGTTGTCATCTCTTATAATTTCCTCAGGATAAATACTCAGAATTGGAATTTCTGGGCCAAAGGTCAGATATGTTTTAATGATTTTTGATACATATTGACAAGTTGCTGCCTTGAAAGACTCTACCATTTTATATTCCCACCAGGGGTGCCGTATGAAAGTGCCAATTTCCAAAACCCTTGCCAAAACTACTCTTATTATCTTTTAAAATGTTTGCTATATTGGCAGGTGAAAATGGTGTCTCGATTTAATACACTTTTATTTCATTACTACTGCAGCACACCATTTTATATCCTTTGGCCATTTGTGTTCTGTGATTGCTTCTTTATGGCCTGGATTCAGAAAAGCTATTGATGCTTTATTAGTTTGACTTTTATCTTTTGATTTTTTATGCATCATTTTTAATGAAAGGAGGTTTGCATACATATATGTTTGTCAATCTGTGTCTTTAAGGCTTCTTCCTTTGCTTTTATGGTCAGAAAAATCTTGACAACCCCAAATTATATAAACATTTATTTGTATGTTTATTTTTATCATTCCTTTACCATATTTAAATTCTAAATTCCCCCAGAATTTATTTTGGTGTATGATGTTAAAAAAAGATTTAACAACATTTTTTTTCCTTATAATACTTACCAATAGTCCAATACTTAGCACAGAGGAAAAAATTTAACTGTCTGTCTCACACTGCATATCCACAGCTTTTTATTTGTCCTCATTCCTGCTGTCCGATGTTGTACGGTGACAGCAAAGCTTTAAATGTCAAGTCAGGTGCTATAGTTGCATATTAGAAGAAGTAATTAAACTTGTAAATGACTTTACCCTTCCTAATAAGCAGATTATCCTAGAAGAAAGTACATATTCTCTAGAGACAGCACAAAGCAGCCCCTTCACGTCACGTTCAGTAGACTAGGTTCACAATAACGGACGAGTAGAACATCTTGGCCTTTACCACAACTGGAAAACCCTGAAGTTGCTGAGCCTCTGTCCAGGAAGAACTTCCTGTGGAGATGAGATATAGTTCCTGGGTATCTCAGCTATGACATGGTCAAGGTGGCTAAGCAAGACAGACCTAGCAAGGCTCTTACCAAGAGTCAACTACCTGGAGGGGCTGGCAAGATGTTCAGGAGGGGAAGAAGGAAATCCAGGTGCTCCATTAGAAATAGATTTTGGGCCCAATAGAAAAGCTAAGTTCAGAATCTGAGTTCACTCGTAATAGGAAGGGGATGGACGAGGGACAAAATCTATGAACACAAGCTAAGACTGGCACCAATAGATCCAAATGAATTTCAAGAAAAATAGTCCAAACAGCAAATGTCGCAGGGAATACCTGGCTTCAAGTTCTGGTTAGCTATACCACTACCTATGTGGCCTTAGGCAAGTTAATTTACATGCAGGGCTTAATCTTTCCATCAATAAAATGAAGAAGTCAAATTAGACTATTTTTTTCCAACTTCTTCCCTTTATAAGATTCTCAAAGTTGAAATGGAAGATGTCAGCGTATACAGATAATCTGTATTCATGTTAGATTATCTGTTGGTGGTAAGAGACCTGTATTACAAGGAAGTAGGGTCCTATGGATTGTAGGACCCTATGAAACAGACTTATAATATTTATGATTTCAAGGTATTAGCCCCAAGGAGCTGTTTAAAGAAAACCATCTTAAAAATTTTAAGTCTAGAGCCTTTCTTCTCTACCCAACAACTGTCAGATGCATGTAAATATAACTAGCTATGCCTGGCCCATCCTTGTCTAGTAGCCAATGTAGTAGAAATATCCATCTAGATGAACAGATGTAATACCAATTTCACATAAGAATTGAAATTTTAAAAGTGTAATGCCTGATTTCTAAAACTTCAAACCTTCTTTTTCTGTATATACAAGGAGAAAATGATCTAAGAATGTTCTAGCCTCATTAATCTCAGTCTCTGGTGGACTATTTCTACAGCAGGGGCTCCATTGCTATGAAATACACAGGTGATTTCTGAGGGGTCCATGAATCTCTTTGCAGCTAAATGCAGAATTGCTTATAAGTGTGTTTATGGCATTTTTCTTGTGAATGGTTTGTAGGTTCCACTAGATTCTCAGTTTTAAGAGACAATAATAGTCTATAATCTCCCAGGAGCTTTTATTATAAAATTTTAATTCCCTTCACATAAATTCAATTTATCAGTAAGATGGACATGATTGATCTATCTTAACATTTATGTCCTTCCTACCAAAGTACATAGAGATTATTAAGATGTCTGTTCTCAGTTGGACAGTTTTCCGAACACTATTCTACACCAAGACTTAATGCCGGAATTTCTACAAATGTAACCAAGCTTTATCCCCAGACACGCGTGATTCAGAGAATCATTTAACCATGTGCCATCCTCAAGAAACAACTATGGAGAGTGAAAAACTCTTGACTAAACCTATCAGGAATAAAGACATCCAATACTTATTAGGTTCTTACTATAGGCCCAACCCTGAGCTAACCTCTTTATATATAATACCAATTCTAATCCTTACAACATTCTTATGGCATAGAAATCATTAGTTGCATTTTATAAATGAATAAATTGAGGCTTAGAGAAGTTGAGAAATGTAATCAAGATCTCACAAAGAGATCCAAACTCAGGTTTCTCTGACACCAAAGCCGGTGCTATGAAGCAACTGCACTATTCGGCCTCACACAGCCCTGAGAGGGAGAGAAACTGTTGAATGGCAGCCTATCATCCCGTCAAATAAAGGTTAAGGGTTACGAAGATTGAGGCAGATAAACGAACATGTATTTATGAGTTCCTCATAAGTTTCCTGTCACAAGCGGACTACCTAATATGCTACATTAAATGTGATAGAGCTAGCATGTTGGGGATGGGAAGAGAAAAAGGAAGGAGAAAGAATGGTTTCTGGCTGAAATATGTACAGAGGAATAGTTTCCTTCCCTAAAACAATGTTTCTCAAACACCAGCATACATAGTAGTCACCCGGGGAGTTTAGTGAATACGCAGAGTCCCAGGTCCCCTTGCCAGCAACTCAGATTCACAAGTTTCTGGTGTGCAGCCTAAGAATTCCCCACTTTTAACAAGCATCCCAGGCACTCTTTAATGCTGGTAATATCTGAACCAAAGTTTGAGAAACAACTGTTATAAAGAGTTACTTTTACAACTGGAATTTCCTCCAATATCATCCAGCTGTGATTGTGAAGGTTACCCATTAGGGTAGTTAATAGGCATATCTTGGAGATAAATATACTAAGAGTAAGAGAGAAAGAATTTCTTGCATAAATGCCTGTGGCATTATTATTATTATGTAGTGAGTATACCTACAGAAGCTGGCGACAATAGCTTCAATCTTCTGAGGAAAGATCAAAAGAATCAGAAAAACTTTCAACAGGAAAGAAAAATTCTGAAGTGAACCATCGAATCCCTTCATACCTTTGGAGACATGAAACAAACAGATGAACCAATCATCTGTTGTTATTAAAGTCTGGAGAAAGAGAAGTGGACTTTCAATGCTGCATGAAACCTTTGGAGAAAAAAAAAAAACACAACAAAAACATCCTTGACTCAGTGGATTGCGAAATGTTGGAAAATCCAAGTTAGAAAATCTTCAAGATCTAGGCTCATTTAGGTATATTAGTGCCTGAACCAGGTAGACTTTTCACTCTAGAGTTTTGTCTCCAGATGACTCTACCTACATCTCTTCTAATTGGAAGCAATGTTTAATTTTGTGTTTAATTCCATAACCTTTATTTTCTATAAACACAGCTTTGATTAGCAACCCAATGCAGTTTTAAAAAATTTAATTATTGCGGATGCTATTGAGCACTAATTAACAAAGGGAGGCTGTCAGGAATGAGTTGCACTATTGTTAGCAGCTCGTTTTCATTTATGAAATGCAAGCACGCAAGTGAAGAATAACTCTGTTAGGAAAATAGGTTTAATTTTCCCAATTGTATGACAATGAAGCTCCTTGAATATTTTGCAAAGACTAGATAAAAGAAAATTAAAAAAATAAAACCTGCAACTAAATATAACATAAGTGCTCTACTATAGAACACAGAAAGTGTATGCGTTGTGTGTGATTAGCATGATTATCAGCACTTTGCCTTATGCCTCCTCAGTACCCTTCCTCACCCTACCTTGATAGGCACATCTGTGTACACTTATCATCCAAATGGGAAACTGGTTCTGCCCATTGACCACCTTGATAAGAGGCTTTTACCTAAATCCTTTTAAAAGACTAGAAGGAAGCAAGCACTCCAATAAAATGCTCTGTAGGACCAAATTAGTTTCTACATTGAGAAAATAGCCATTTCTGCTCAGTTAGTTAATGATTCCTGAATGTGGGATGGCCAAAAAGGAAACAAGGTCTACAAAGAGCTATTTCTGATAATAGGCACATAGAAGGGCTGAATAGTAAGGACTTCTGGAAATTGTCATATCAACCCTATTGTATTATACATGAGTCAGCTCAGGCCCAGAGAGATAAAGAGACTTGCTTAAGGTCACACAGTACTTTGAGGTAGAATACAGTTAAAATGTGCTTCCTATTGCTCCATATTCCGACCCCATGATTTGAAATGACTTATAATTGTCTAGATTGATCATATGCTTGCAATCTTTCCACCAACTCCTGTTATTTCACTGTAATATAGAACTGGCTAGCCAGGGTTTTTTTTTTCCAAGTATACAAATCATGCCCTACCCTCAGATATTTTGATGAATGGGGTTGGGGTGGGGCTCAGGAATTTTTATTATTTACAAATATGCCAGGTGATCATGATGCAAGTGACTTGGGACCCACTGAGAACCCCTAAAGTGGAGTCCTCCTAAGGCCTCCATCCGCCACAGCCATGCTCTGGGGGGAAGTGATATGTTGTCAGGAGCTGAGCTGAGCTATCAGGTGTTAGAGTAGCTCATTAAAGCAACAAGCCAAAAATGAAACAGTTAAGCCTTTAATCACTTAGTGTTATGATAGAGGAAGAGTCTAAAACCAGAGAAAATACCAGCTTGCCCTGTTCCATTTTCCCCCATGGAAAGGCATGTGGCTCAGCACAGACATGAAGGCTGTCCCACTGTCGAGGGAGCCCTAAACAAAAGACTCTGGCAGTTTTATGGACTCTGGGGCGGAGGGTAGGGAGGGGGAGTGGTGAGGGCAAAGTCTGGGAGTAGAATCAAGTCTGAGTAGGGAACAGTGTCTTCATGCTTCCCCCTTCTCCCTCCACAAGAAGTCCTAGGCAGAGGGGTCTTAAGACCTCTACTCAACACCTCAAAGAGACATAGGAATGTAAATATGAGAAGAGCATTGCAGGGGGTTGAGGGGAGTGGTCCTGAGGCCGGGATTGCAACACCCCTCAGAGGCTGCGATGCACAGCTCTGCACCCTATCTATGTGGGGAGGGCAGCTGCCCCCGTATGGTCCGCCAGGTAAGGCCTCTGTAATCACCTATGGTCAGGCCTGAAAAATCACACCCAAGTTTTTAACAACTAGAGGGACTCCCCAGTGTTTAGGAATGTACACTGCCTCTTTCTTGTCACCAGGGGATTGTTTAACCAGCACACTATGGGCTCTGGAGAGAAGGCAGATTCCCCTGACAATTGTTCTCCAACCTAATGATAAAATAGGAAGCTTGAGGAGTAAATACTTGGGCATTTACTTATTAAATAATGCTTGATTGCCTTTAGGGGAACAAGGCAGGTCTCAAAGTCAAGGAAAAGCTTGAGACTGTGAAAGAATCTGACTAATGAATAATAGGAATAAGTTTTAAAATCATATTTAGGGCCAGTTACACGTAGGCACATTCAATCATTGAATCAAGCAATATTTACTGAGCACATTACCCTGTGCCTAGCTTTCTTCTGGGTGCTTGGCATGCATCAGAGAACAAGATAGACAAAGATCTCACTGCTTCTCGTGGCTGAATTCAAACAAGGGTGACAGACGTTAATATTACACAATACAAATGAGTTCCCCAGTATGTAAGGAGGTGATACATGACATGGAAGAAGAAAATACATATATATCTATAGCAGGATAAGACAGCTCGGGAGCATGTGGGGAGAATTGAAATTTTAAATGGGAAGCTCTCTTCATATTGTAATACATCCAACAATGCCTTACATCTCCAATTTATCTTTATATTGTTGCTCAATTAATCTTACTAAAAACGCTTTTGATTTTACCATTTCCTTTCTCAAAAATCCTTGATGATTCCCATTGCCCAATAGATAAAAGTATAAGCTCCCTTTCCAGCATTCAAGATTCTCATCACTCTGGCTCGATTCCTCATTGTCCCTTCCCTGCTCCAGACTGCCATCTGGCTGCACCTGTACTGTCCCACCCTGGTGCTTCTGCTCTAGTGGCCTCACACCCTCTTCTCTATCTGCACCTCTCGACATTCTATCCACCCTTCAAAGTTCGGCTCAAATATTTCTCCCCAGCAAGGGCTTCCTAGATCTTTTCATTCCGTGGGAATTTTTTCTCCTCTAAACTCCCACAATACATTAAGCTATGAATACAGCATTCAACAGACATATTGTAGCTATAAAAAGACTTATTTTTGATGGATTGTAAAGGTGTAAAGAATCACCTCCTTGAATAGTTCCACATATTTAGCATAGTGCCTTGCAAGAGTGAACTCACATAGCTAAGAGTTTCCTGACAATTTTGACATATAAAGAAGAAAAGGAAAGCATGTTTACAAGTAGGTAGCCAGCCAGTGTCTTTAAAATCCAGTTCTTCCTATGAAGGAAGTCAAGGCCTCATCTGTGGGTTCATAATGCTGAGAGTGCTAAGGCTTTTAATGGGCAGCATAAGATTGGAAGGTACAAAGGAAGTGTTGTCGTTTAAAATTTTTGCTCCAGTTAAATGTAACTAGAAATCAGGGACAAAGTTTACACTCCTATAATGCTGAAGATTGAAGTTTACTCACAGTAAAAGCTTAACTTATATGTGAGAAGTTTTCAGTACTGTATTTTGAATTTTGAATGGAAAGACATACCAATAGTAATAGATACTAGAACAATATAAGTACAATTGCAAAAAGCCCTTCGTAATCCCTGAATGGAGATGCTTATTGTTAGCACTTGGTTTTGTAAAGAAACTTCATTTTGTCCCTGAAAGATACTTTGGGTCAACTTCCCCTCCAGCCCAAATCTCACCTGGCGAGATATGCAGCACCTGGTTGTCTGGACCTCTGAATATGACCCACTGGCCAATAACCCTGGATGGAAAAAGAATGGAGCAGGCTTGATGGTGAATAGTCGATTTGGATTTGGCTTGCTAAATGCCAAAGCTCTGGTAGATTTAGCTGATCCCAGGACCTGGAGCAGCGTGCCCGAGAAGAAAGAGTGTGTCGTAAAGGACAATGACTTTGAGCCCAGGTAAATGTCTTCAGAAATTTTAAACAAACTTTTGCCCATGGCACAATTTGATTACAGTGTTTGTCACTCTGCCTAATTTTTTTCTCACCTACTGTTCTGAAGGTTGCCAGTGTTCTCTGTGGGTCTCCATGGAGAATCGCTGAGAGACCAAAGAGCTATAACTCACGCTAGCATATTTGCATTTTCCTCTTGTAGCCCACCTACCACGTAGCATCAAGTCCAAGGTGCACCATTGTTTTATGTAAGAAAAACATTGCCAATGAAGCTATAACCAACCATCAGTTTTAAGATTCATTTTAAATTCAATGTTAAACTATTTTTAAAAACTCATCTTAGGATTGATGAAATGCAGTACTTGCCAACCAGTATTACCCAAGACTTACTTTTAAAATAGCCTTGCTTCGTGCCACAGCGCTATGTGACTCATGACTTTTCTTCCGTCAAGAATCCTTTATCATGCTGCTTTTATATAGACCACCTCTGGTACACCACATCCAGCCACTGAAGCAAAATTTGCTATGTTTCTTTCTTTCTTTCTTTCCCTCTTTTGTTCTCTCTCTCTTTCTCTCTCATTCTCTTTCTCTTTCTTTTGAGACAGGGTCTTGCCGTATTGCTCAGGCTGATCTTCAACTCCTGGGCTCAAGCAATCCTACTATCTCGGCCTCTCAAATAGCTGGGACCACAGGCACATGCCACTGTGCCCAGTGTGTGTTTTGTTATTTTTCTCAGGACAACCTAATAATACTGAAGACTCACTCACACAAAATACCTGAGGGTGGGTGGGAGGCTTAGGGGCATGCCTTAGGAAGGCCTTATAGACAAAATCGTTTTTTCTTAAAAGAAACTTTGCTGGTCCAAAACAAAGCTACTTGGATTCAATTCCACGACAAATAGCATTGTATTTAAGTATTCGTGTTCCTTACGATTTTCTTATATGCTAAAATTAATTTATACTAAATCCTGAATTGAGTTCTACTTGTAACAGGGAATGGCAACAAGCTTAGCTGAGTATCTAGTCAAGACCGATATGTAAATACATGCATACAATGCAAGGAAGAAGACATATACTTTATTCCATGCTGATTCTTTAATGTATTTAGAGCCCTGAAAGCTAACGGAGAAGTTATCATTGAAATTCCAACAAGAGCTTGTGAAGGACAAGAAAACGCTATCAAGTCCCTGGAGCATGTGCAATTTGAAGCAACAATTGAGTATTCCCGTAGAGGAGACCTTCATGTCACACTTACTTCCGCAGCTGGTAA